CGTTGAGTACAGACTTTTATATTAAAATGAAATAATTGTTCAGTGCTCGTCTGTTTACAGTGTTTGCTTGATTCAAGTCTGTCCTAAATGAGAACTACCTCGGATGAAACACTTTTCAAGCCTCTAATTCTAACACTATATTGCTTATTTTACATTTTGAAATCCTGTGTGATCAAGGCTTGTACTAGTAGATGTGTATAGCTATGATAAGTCCCGTATTTTATCTCACTGTAAAATTAATCTAATCAGCTGCATTACAACTCGAAAAATGTTAGTTCATCTGTTGATCTTATTGGATCATCTACGTCATCTATCTTAAAACTAAACGGAATCTTTGTAGGGGATTTAAAACTACTCTGAGATTCACGAAAAAACGAAACAAAACAAATATCTATTGTTCTTAAGGACATAAACATTCATTGACAACAATTATCTATAACTTCCTTGATTCAAATAACAGGAATTTCATGGTATACAAAAACTGAGATAATTCTTTATGATAAAGTATATTTTCATTAGCTATAGTTCATTGGATAGAACGCTAGATGTTTTATGTAAAGTTTAAAACAGCATTTGACGCCCAAAATATTCTTTTATCTTGGTTTCTCCTCCCTTTCACCGTTTGTCCTGAAAATGTTTTTTGAAAGTGTTTCTTATTTTCGTAGTTAAATTCAATTAATAATTGTAGGCTTATGATTGGCAGTAATTAAAATAGACGGATAGACAAAAAGGAGAATGGATATATAGACAGATATGCTAAATCAACATGGGACCTGATCTAGAGTGTGTATCGATCCAAATAACTACACTTCATTTAGGCACAGCGAGTGAAGGCAACAGAAAGAAAGGTTAAGAAGGAAAATTGATAGCAATAATAACTATAAAATAATAATAACGATTATAATACTTTCAGCAGCTATGAACAATCGTAGATAAGTAAAAAAATGCTAAATGTCATTACACCTAAAGTCGTCGTCTGTAGAATATTGACTGGTTTTATTCCCAACGTGCATTTATTGAACGAAAATCAGGAACATCGCTTGTTCTCTAGTATCCTCTCTCACCTGAAACTAGTGCATATTTTTGCTATAGACCTACCAAGGTTATAAGATATATAGTTTATGCTCGATATTTTCTAGTCTACTTAATTCGGTTGTTCCATCATAGGATGGAACCTATTTTGTAAGAGAAACTTATTGAAATACTTTGTGCTGAGGATCCCATATTCTACTAAATATATAATGTTAAATAAAGCCATTTATGATAATAATAATAATATCATGCGCACAACTAGACAGCTTAGCCAATAGAATAGTAAGTTCTTCCCGTGTCAGTGATCAGACACATTTTATCAAATTTGGTTGATAATAGCTATGGGGAAGGCAAAACTAAAGAATTCTAAACCATTTGTTGCCGACGTGATCGAAATCATCTTTAACAGACATCAGAGATTCTAGGAGTTCAACAAGTTTGTAATACATTATGGTTCGCATGACTAAAGAGGGCTTGCTAAGCAATCTTACAGGGTTTTTATTCGTGTTTATTCACCTAGTCATATAACTTCGTTTACCAGACACTGTTTTTGTTATTACATGATCTTTATTGATGATGCTTCATAGTCTTGACCTACCTTAAATGCTTATGTATTTAACTTTTACCAGGTTGTGTTTATTCATTTTATCAGGATTACTTTTATGCACCCACCATCATATTGATGGAAATTTTTAATCTTATTAAATACGTAGTTGTTATTACTTACATATAAATAAATTTTACTGGCTTTTATGTTTTACAACACGTATTTATAAACTGTACATTCATGTAAAGCCTGAAAAAAGTTTGACTGGAAGTGATATTAGTTGTAACGATTTGCATTTCTTCTTTATTCATGTTAATGACATGCAAATGATCGGTCTCTAAAGGCATGTGTACATCTTGAGCGGTTTATGTTGATATCGCCATTTCGTCAGAAGTTCGCAGCAAAATATACTGAATTCTAGTGTCAATGTGAAGAGTAATACTGGAGAGCAGTTTAATTCAAATGATCAATCCAGATTAGGATAAAACGCGCGTTCTACATCCCAGTGCTAACTACTATTAAACTTTAATGAAAGCAGTACTGTTCACTTATGTTTTATTCGACCTTTGAACATTTATAATATGTTGTGATTACTTATTTTTCTGTCAAATAAACAGATTGATTTAGTGCACGAAAAAGAATTAGGAGAAAACACATCTAATTGTAAAAAACCAGATAGAGAAATCCCATAGTAAAATGATGTTAGAAATTAGGTAGTCTTTAAATGAGAAACATTCGTATAAGACGTATTGGATAATATCATTGGACGATTAAAATATGAGGTTCCATATTCATTGAACTATAACTTTAATACTCAGTGGTATGATTTTTTCCGCAAATCGATATATTCATTTGACCTTAATCTATAATTGTCTGACCGAGTAATTAAGAATAATATGTGAATGCTTTACATTTTATTGAAACAAGAACATACTGAGGTAAAACATTGGGTGTTTTAAAATATTGATTTCTCATACATAAGAATGTTTATTTACTAATCCATCCATGATCAATAAAATTATTGTTAGCCATCAAAATAGAAAATCACCATGTCAATCAATAAGATTAATGGAAATAATTTGTATTCAGTTCTGAATATTGACTTGATATATGTTGCTGCACAATCATATCTTGTTACTCAGTTTAATGAACTTGTATAATTGATTTATTTGAAAGACTTGATTTAAATCATTAAGGAATCAGTTTATGTCCTGGCTCTAATTCTATCATATGGTGGATAAGTTACTTTCAAAACAATTTATTGATAACTTCAGCAATTTTTGCATTGAAAGATACCAATCTGAAGCTATCTTCTGATAGTGATATACAATCAAATATCGATGAATAATTTCCATAAAATACTTTACTTTAAAGGATAATTTCAGTCCAAATTTCAATAATCAGTAACTTTATAGACTGGTAATAGCAGGAAAATTCTTGAAACAAAAGTCATATCAAACATTTATATTGTTCTTTTATAGGACTACTCAATAGTATGCACTTGTATTTCTATACAACACAAAACCAAATTAAAATCTTCGCATAAATAAATTAATATATTTGTAATATCCTAATGAGCAGAAAAATTAAATTTTCAGACGTTTCGTGACTCGGTATAAGCCACTTCTTCAGAGAATAAATAATCAAATCAAAATTCATCCAAGTAAAAATGATTTGTTCAGATCTGTATTTTGATTGATCCTACATAATATTGATGCAGTGTTCCTTTGTACTATTTGAATTCGGGTTAATTTTGATTTGGTTATTTATTCTCTGAAGAAATGGTCTACACTGAGTCACGAAACATCAGAAAATCTATTTTTTCTACTCATTCGGATATTATAATTATACTAATTTATTTATTTATAACAATCTAACCAATGCTCAATTTATTTGAAATTATCAAGTCAAACATATGTCAACCAATGGATATGTTTCTCACAATCGAGATAAACATTCATCAAAATCACAGTATTTAGTAAAACTAGTAATATGTTGACAAATTTGAACGATTTCTGAATAACCTTGAGATTGTTAGACTCTTTATTAGTCAATGAGAACGAGGACAGGTTTAATGAAAAGTCAATCACTAAAATAACAGTCACATTTTGGTTTAATACAGTCTGTAAATTGTCAGTTTTCAAACTAAAAAATCAAAGTATTTCACGTGTAGAAACTGGTCGGTTCATAGGTGTTTGAGTCTGTCGATTATATGCAACTTTGGTTCTGACACATATTCACCTGTTCAAGTTGCCATATCATGTTTGTGCAACAAGATAAAATCGTAATAACAAATCACAGAGTGTAAACGAAATAGGTTATACATAAATGTTCATTAAAAAATGTCACATTGATTGAATGTTTATGTTTGGTGGCACCTGAGTTTGTTATACTTAATCCCTACATTGTATATTAGAGTAGACGATGATTGAGTTTGTGTAACATATAAAATGAACTATAGATTATTAAGTAAAGTTGACACAGAAAAGTGTGTGATTAAATTTCGTGTTGATTGATTGATCATAGTATTAAATAGTGATGCAAGATTTTCTTTTAAAAATGCACCATAATTCAAATGATCATCACTTGAAAACAATATGTAGCATGTTCTTATGACAAGATTTAAAATGAAATGAGAAAAAATTGCAAGAACTATTGGCGAAAGTATAATTTCTGGAAGAACCAATTAGGTATAAGAAAACAGGTCTCGGAATTTGACGCAAAATTCACTCATTTATTTAGCTAAATAGAGTCTTTGCATTATGGCTGATGTCAATTCATGATGAAAACCTTAAATGAAATTCCTAACACTAACCATCAATTGTAAATCATAATTCGAATTCCTCACACTAATTTATAAGCGTCATTTAGTCCTAGTTATTTGGTGGATACTCTCAAGTTCAGTCTAGCGTCACTCAAAGGTCGTCCATTTATTATAGTCTCATTGAAATTATCAAATCAAACTTGAATCATGATATCTATAAATACTTTACATCTCTTGACAGATTGAAATCATGAGTAAACTGAAGCTAGACCACCATGGGAAACCTGGAAGCACTGGACGACCATTTCGTCCTACTATGGTACTCCTCAGCAGTGAGCATCCACGATCCCGCACCCCGCGAGATTCGAACCCAAGACCTATCAGTCTCGCGCCAAGCGCCTAACCAACTAATAGTGTTAGTGTCTAACTTCAACCAATCCACAAAGTTTTCCAGGTTTTCCATGGTGGTCTAGCTTCAATTGACTCATAATTTCAATCTGTGAAATTTTTAAAATCTCCACAAAACCCCTTCTGATAATATTCTATTTGAGTTTAATTTCTACAACCTATTCAATTCAATAAAATATATTATTGGAACAATTTTTTTGAATAATTTTACTTTATATTTTATCGATTATTTTCCTTCTTTTTAATTAGGGTAAATTAGAAGAAAGATTACCATTTATGTCAATTATTGCACCGAAATTATTCAAAGAAAAATGGTCTATTCAATGGGATAATATAAAATATAATCAAAATAGATTAATTACTTTATTTGATTTACATGCAACATTACGTGATTTATTAATGAATCAATTAAAATTACATAATAATAATAATATTGATTTTATTAAAATATTTAATAAAATTCATAGGAATTGGCAAATTAATCCTTCACATGGGTTATCTTTATTTAATAAAATACCATTAAATCGTAATTGTGATGATGCATATATTAGTTCACATTGGTGTGTTTGTTTAAAATGGATCAAAATAGACCATAATAATAATAATAATAACTTAATATATAATACAAATGATCTTATTATAAAAAGTACAAATGTAATTATTACTAAAATTAATGAAATGATTATTAAATATAAACCAAATTTAACTAAAATGGACAATGTTCAATGATTAAACTTTATCAAGTAAGTTATATTTTGTTTAATGATATATTCTTATTTTATTAAGATTTATAAATGTAGATCTTAGTTCATACGATAGGGATGTTCTTACATAATCATGATCAAAACCGGACGGATATTAGCAAAGAATACACGCTGATTTTGTCGGTCCAATATAACATAGAAATTACTTGGTTGTTGTAGATGCTTTCATAAAATGGCCAGAAGTATATGACATGCTGGAAATGACATCAGAGAGTACAATAAGAAGATTGTTAGGATTGTTTGTTTTGGGTTCCAGAAATCTTGGTGACTGACAAATGCACTCAGTTTATGTCATCAACTTTCAAAGGGTTTTGTAGTGAAAATGGCATATCGCATTTACAGTCTCCTTGGTACCATCCTCAGTCGAATGGCCAAGCCGAAAGATTCGTAGATACAATAAAAAGGGCTCTGGTCAAAGGGGAGGAGAGGGTATCCCAGAACAAGTGATCAGTAAGTTCTTAATGTCTTACAGAGTTATCCCCAATCCGGTAGTACAAGAAGGAAAGTCACCAGCCGACTTTATGTTCGGAAGGAAAATCCGGACAGTCAAAGACAAATAAATCTACTCGTGGCTTCCAGGTGGGTGAAAGGGCACTTTTCAAATCGTATCAAGGTGATAGGAAGTGGCAACCACGTGTTATGGTACGTCAATAATGTGCTGTACCTAATTCGGAGAAATGTCGGAACGTGTATAAGAAACATAAATCAAATTCAAAGGGACGGCAAAACATCGACCACACAAAGTAGACTCCCGTTTCATTGGATCGTGAATACATCTCGAAAAAGCTCTCAGGAGCGCGAATGTAGAAGAGATAAAAGACACAAGGGAAAAGTGGCACAAACTTCGAGAGTGATGAACCGCAAGAGGAATGAGGTCACCAAGTTTCAGGTGAACCCGAGGAAAAAGTCTTACACAACAGACTATAAAGCGGGGTAGATGTGAGAACAGTCCATGGGTGAACTCGAGGAAGCCCTAAGAAGCTCAGAAAGAGCCAAAGATATTCCATCCATTGATCTTTTGGGGGAATATTCCAGAATCCCTACATGGAGATTCCCGATTAAACAAATGCTAATAACCCCCTGTATGCGGAATGGAAGACTATAATGATGGTTTCGTTTTTACTAAAAAACTATAAATACCTGACAGTTTTGCATCATAATTGACACTGTTTGAAACAGCATTCCTTTCACTCATTTGCGACTTGTGAGGGTTCTAGCATTCGAGTGCTCAAGTTATACGTGGTATATTAAGCAGCTCAGCTCTAGATATAACAGTGAATACCTTTAGTTTAGATACTCCTTGAATAACATCTTTAAATCCTAATCTTTTCGATTACTGTTTATAGTTTTACTGCATCTACCACTATAGGATTTAAATCGACAGTTGTATCTCGGTGCTAATGTGGTATAGCAATTTGAACTAATGAATGTACGTACGTACGTACGAAGTTCTACGTTGTTGCTGACTGACTACAGTTTATTAAACATGTAATCTAGATCGATACCAACAATCGAAATTTAATATTTGAGTTGCACTAATCTGATGAAATCGTCAGTATAGTTATTTTTCATATAATGGATAGTTCTATAAAAGACACATTTACAAAGTAGTTAAAATAAATAGTTTGTTCATACAAATTATGTTATCAGTGATGTACTGAATATGAGGCATCATTATGAAATATTAGTTTGTTTCTTTTTTGATAGAACAATGAGGTCTAAAAGAGTGTGAGATATTTGCGCCATACATTTCGTACAATCTTATCACATATATACTTGTCAAAGCATTTTAATGCGCAAGATCATGGATTGATTGAAGTTAGACATTAACATCGTTGGATGTCGGCTCAATAGTCTAGAGGTTAAGCGTTCGTGCGCGAAACCGGTTCTCTAGGTTTAAGTGCACCATATGAGATCATGGATACGCGTTAACGAGGAGTCCTATACTAAAAAGAAATAGCCTATTTTAGATCGACTCATGAATTCAACTTTTACAATTACTACAATCTTCACAACCCCTGATTCTGATAATAAACTAGTAAAAGTCAATTATCACGATTTTCATCTATTTAAACACTTATTTCATTGACCTTTATTAATTTTCACATATAAATGCTTTGAAAGTATATGTGAGTAGAATATATGAAATGTATAGCACAAATGTATCACATTTTATTAAAGATCAACTCCGTCTTCTTATTGTTCTATGAAAATTTGTAAACGAGAATAATTGCTATAAATTCCAAGTATAAACGCTTAAAGAGATATATTGGAAAGTCACTTACGATTAACAGTATTGTATTACTTTACTATTAAAGTATTCATTAGATAACGGACTACCTTATGGAATATTGCTCATATGATATTTAATTTCTTTAGATAATCAAAAATACATAATTATCTGTATTCTGTAATGTATGTACTGTGAATTATCCTTTCTAAAGTTTGATTGAATGAAAACTACTAAACATTAATGAGAGGTGAATATCAAGTGAATTTTACTTACTAACCAGGTTCATATTTATCAGTGAATAAAATACTTACTCCTTACATATCGCCCATTTATTCATTTGACATTCAACTCAACTTTGAAATATCGTGTGACCTATCTATTTGATTTAGTTTATCTGAACTGATGACCTTACAAATAATTTTAGAATAATCAATGCTCATTGTGAATTTATTTCAAGCTTATACACTGTAGTTCACTTACTGAAAATCTATATGAGGAATACTCTTTCTATGCTTAACATGAACTCCGATTTTTATCACTATCTACTTATTAATGACAAGTATAGAGAGGATTCAACTGTTAAATTTATTACTTACTCTTATTGAGAAAATTCACTTCCGTTTGAAAAATAAAAATACCATATAAACTGAATAGTATTGAGTAGTTGTTCTTGCTTACTGCTCACCTTCAAGAACACATTTTACTTAATTGAAAAAACAACTTTGTTTCTTGAATATATTTAGAGCGAAATCTCAGCGAATGAATTTGAAGTAAATCGGCAATCTGGTCCAAGCTTTTTCAAGGAACCATAATCAAACATCAAGATTATCGATTACAAACAGTTAACCGTATACTAAATAGGTTATCTAACCACACTAACAGTCTATAAAGTGAATTCACTTGGTATTGTTTGCTTGGATCTTCCCATTGATGCTTAGGACTTCAATTGATCAGTCTCTTATTGGTGTACGTGGGTTCGAGCACATAAATGATTACATTTTAGGTTTTCCGAGGGAGGGGTATGAGAAACAGTTAAACAGGAAAAGTTTTAGTACATTTCGAACATGATATATTGATACGAGCAACAAGTGAGTAATGCTGAGATGTGTTGTAAATTAAAGTATAAAATAATAAATCAGTTCATCGGGTTATAAAATCTGAACACTCAAAAGAATGGTAATCAATAACTTAAGGCTTTAGAGGGCATTGGTTCATGCTATTTACATCCCCTCTCTTTTGATTCTCATAGTAATTCCCTATTGGTATGCTGATGTGAAACGTGACAACTTGATCTGATATACATTCATTCCAAATATACTATGGAAAAGTTCGAAAACCAGTCCAAAATTGCTATCCAATGCCCATTAATTTTTCTATGGTTTCCTATTTGATATTAGTTCATAGTGAAAATATTTTTTTCATATTTAAAATGCCTTAGTGAATTTGGATACAATAATACATAGTTCTTACTTATTTCAGATTAAATCAGTAGAACAAGCTATACTACCACAAGATATGGTTCGATTTATTCGCAGTCAAGATGAAGATGGACGTATACCAATGTTTCAAGAACAATCTACTTCATCATGGTCATTACTAGATTGGATTAAAAAATTCAATATACTAAACAACAATAATAATAATATTAACAACAATATTTTTAATCATGATTTCATTCATGAAAGTATACTTTTACGTATACATATTATAGTACAACCTGAATATGCACATTTCGAAGCTACTGTTAAAGTGAATATAACACAACATTCATTGAATAATTTTCATGTAATGGATATAAGTCGAATTGATCTCTATGAACAACATAATTGGTGTTTATCGGATAATGAGTGGGCAGAAACTAAACAATATTGTATATGTCAAAAATACACTTAAAAATGTATATAACTGTGAATTAAATTACATGTACTATATATAAATTCTTAATGGATAGGTTGTCTACAGTTGACTGATCACTAGATAGTACTACAGGAGGTGGGCTGAAATGCGGATAGCCTTTAGTGGCCCGTTATTTTACGCCAATCGGATCGTACGATATTGTTGACGAACTCAAAACATTTGTGGCCCTATATCTGACTCCATTAATATCGTATGATTCATTACTATTGAAATATACATGTTGCCAAACCCCGCATATAATTATCGACTTAACTCGTGTTAGTGAATAACAGAATTAAATAAGTCAAACACGAGAATGAATTCCAAAGACGTATTTCTTACAATCGTTGATCCAGACAAACGAGGAGAAGTAAGTGAAACGAAATGGCGTGTAGTGGTGTGAGCCAACTCCATATAATCAAGAGTTAATCGATATTTATAGTTGAACAAAAATAAATTACAAGCATGTAATGAATAAGATAAGGAGTGAGCACACATACATCCATATAAAAGCCGTTAACGTTGAAAGGCGAATAGTTAACAAGATCAAAGTGTGACTCAAGGTGAATGAATGGAATGGCCTGTCCGGAAGTTAAGACAAGTTATGTGGGCTTAACATAGTAACCGACACTACGAGCCCAGTAGTAACTTTTCTGACGTTAAGGTCGGGTGACACGGGATCAAATCTGCCAAGGAGCGTTAGTTCCCTCAAGATTACAGGTATATTTTGCAGTCGAGTGCCAAACAGCAGGAAACCCAGGTTCAGGGTTTCCTGTCGACTACCTCCAACCACCACTTTACATAAACTGTTCCAGTCAAAATAAATCACTAACTAAAAAAAGCAAACATATATATGTTTGTTGAGGAAATGTTTAATTTTCATCATGGCATAATTTTATTTGACTGAACATTGGAAATAAAGAAGCACCAGACATCTGTTCAAAACAAACGTTAGGCTTTCATCAAAAGACACAATGAAACAGTCATTATCGTTACTGTAAGTAGTTTGAAACCTTTTTTTACAGACTCATGGAGATTTTTTTTTATTGCTCATATCTATTAAACCATACATTGTAGCCGCACCTTTGTTGTCTTCAAATGTTGGGTTATCACTTTTGGGCTATGGAGGACTGGACAACGTTTTTTACTTAATGTGGGACTTTTCAACATTGTTTGCTTACAACCTCGTCAAGGATTGAACTCATCCCTGAGTGTCATGACAGACAAATACTGAATTTATAGACAGTTGCGTTCGGTTAGGTAGGTTACTAAATCAAACTGGGTATGTTGAAACACGAATAAATACATATGAAACACGTGACTTTCACTGTTTTGTACCAGAAAATTGAGTGTCCCATTTCGGGTTATTGCTTCGTCGTATTTACGGTATCACGTAAACAATACTGGATTAATAATATTAAATTTGTTGTTAGTGACAGAATGAGCTTATGTGAATTGTTTCATAAGCTTAAGGATAAAATGTTTCAGTACACAGTGAGCAGTACTAATGATCAGTTATGTTATCAACTTACTGACAATGACGACAATCTACGTTGTTCGAGAAAATTGTATGATCAATTGGAAAATTCCACTTCTGGACAAGTTATGTGTTTGACTTAAGACAACAGCTCTCGATATTATCACCTGAGAATAACCCCTTCTGATACAGATGGACTTCGGTAAACAATTAAATAGTCATTAAAAGAAGAATATATTTGTAAAATCTCAGCGAATGAATTTGAAGTAAATCCAACGTTTCGCCTGGCAATCTGGTCCAAGATTTTTTTAATGTCTCAAATTAACTCGGCGCCCAAATATTGTGAAACTATTCGTTCAAATTTAGACGAAAGTTCTTATTAATTAAATAGTTAGCCTATCTTGAGAAAACTAACTACATAAAAATAGCGATTGTTTTCAAAGATAAACCTGTGAAAATTTCAGTCACTTTAATTACTACATAAACAAATGCTATATCCGATAACTTAGAGCGAAATGAGTCAAATATATGAGCAACTAGCATAGATCACCATAAAAGATTTATTACTTCTTCAGTATTTTAGTCATTCATCGAATGATATGGGATACAAAAGTATTATTCGATCCAGACTAGTGTATTATAATTAATGTCTTGAAAATATTTTTATATATATAGATTCGAAAATTTGTCAATAAATGAATGCAAATATCTATGGTAATTCGAAGGCAAACATAATCATTAACATGCCATTCTAGTTGTAAGACGATATTTCATTCATTGTTATATACCCAATTGATATTTCGTTCTATGAACAAATTTATAAAAGCAATGAACAATAATTGAGATTTCCAAAACAATAATAAAGAACCATTATTATTTTTGTTGTTAATGAAATTACTAGATTTATGTGTAAGAGGCTACAAATATGATGTAGTTATAGAAACAATTTAAAAACTAGTGTCTTATATTGACTAATAGGCACTTATTAGTCACATTTTATTGGGTTTTTTTAATATTTAGCTTAAAAATAACTAAGTTGAAATCAATCAAACAAATAAGAAACAAATATTAGTCATAACAATATTACATTAAGTAATAAACTAATTAGAAAGGTCATGTTTGTAAAACTCAAGAGCACAAGCAAATAAATTTTCATTCCCCCCCCCCAATATAATAATCAAACGATAGTTCCCTATATGACAATGGTTAATACCAATACTACTATTAGTGATCTAAATACTTATAAATAAAGAAGAGAGAAAAGGAGGAAGTTAAGGATGAATGCATTCTGTTACAGTATGATAATCATAATTTATGTTGATGTGTTTGTTTGCATCAGATCTAATTCAAGCATTACATTACGAATTGAATACATACTGAATAAGAATAACATATAGCAGTCATAATTAGCGAGTTATTAGTAATTTGATAACATTATAATAGGGGAATTAAAAATATTCTCTACATAAAATACTTATTGTAGGTTGAAAAACATTAACATGTAAAGGAAAGGAGAGAATAATTTTTTTTCTTTAAATCATCAGTGGAAAAAGTTATTTTCTTTCTTTTTTCAAATTACTAACTAGACTAAATGACAATAGGGGAAGAGGTCATGAAGAAATAGGACAAAAAAGTGTATTCATAAAAGATAAACGTCTGAATATTCGTTTGATAAAACTATTTCTTTTCTATAGCTGGTTCAAATGGAGGTGGTAATTTAATGGTTGATGGCTCAACACCCCATATATCTCGAGCATATTCACGTATAGTACGATCAGAAGAAAATTTCCCGGAAGAAGCAATATTCATAAGCATCATTTTTGACCATCTTAGTTCATCCTACGAGTGAAAATAAAGACGTAATAGTTATTATTAATATTGCTATCATTATTATTGTTATTTTCATAAATTTGAATTAATACCAGTAGTAAAAGTATATAAATTCACCCGGAGCTCCTCCAAAGTTCCAAGCCTGGGAAGAGGAAACAGGCTATAGTTAGCAACCCCAACTCATGAAATAAAACCCTACTAAAAAGACCCAAATTAGTAATAGTATGAGTCACTTTTGTTTATTAAATTATAAGCAACGTGGTAAATTGTTTTGCTACGATAAATTATAAATATTACTTACAAAAATCAGGAGTAGCATTCAGATAACTATCTTTCGAATAAGGAATAAAAAAAATTAGATTTTCACAATCGATTGATCACTGGGTGGTGATCAATGTCATGCTTGTCTAGTTCTTATTAGTGCAGATCGAATGCTATCGATCATGTTGCAATGTGGCCACCAGTCTAGGTGACTCGACACTGCGGGCACTATGTATTGATATTTAGATGGTAGTTGGAGGTAGTCAACAGGAAACCCTGGACCCGGGTTTCGTGCTACTTGGCACTCGTCAGCAAGGTGTACCTGTAATCTTGAGGGAACTGGTGCTCCCTGTCGGATTCGATCTCGTGTCACCCAGCTTCACAGTCAGAGACGCTACCACTGAGCTATCCGAGCCGTGACTAACCTCCTGTAGGACTGAGATGTAATCACAATCGATTGATCACTGGGTGGTGATCAATGTCATGCTTGTCTAGTTCTTATTAGTGCAGATCGAATGCTATCGATCATGTTGCAATGTGGCCACCAGTCTAGGTGACTCGACACTGCGGGCACTATGTATTGATATTTAGATGGTAGTTGGAGCACCAGTTCCCTCAAGATTACAGGTACACCTTGCTGACGAGTGCCAAGTAGCACGAAACCCGGGTCCAGGGTTTCCTGTTGACTACCTCCAACTACCATCTAAAATTAGATTTTGCTAAAGCAAATAAAATAGTTCTATTTAATTAGCTTCAAACAACTTAGAATATACTCCATGTGCATCAACATATTAAAGATTGAAGGAAAATTGAACCGAAGAATCAATACGTCACATTAAACCATGATAGCTTTTTGGTTCTCAATTATTTAGTTAAATCCGTATGGTTACAGACTTTCTAGTAATATTTACTTGTACTTCAGTCTTTAACTTTGCTGTTCCGCTTGTTTTTTTATTATTAGTGAAGCTATTAGTTAGTACTCACTTGTTTGAGATTATTTTAACTAGTTTACAGCCCTCGAAAAACTACATATACAGGATAAATTATTCTTATTAGTCTTCAAACTAATCGGATTAATAGTATGTTAACAGCACCAGATTAAAAAATTACAAAGAACGAAATCGAACACATCGTTTTCATTTATCTAGTCTAAAATGGCGTTATCAATGACCATCTGAAGATATTTAGTTTTGACTTACTTTGTAAGCTTCCTCAACTTCTTGTTGCACACGTATATAACTTGCATAATCTGCACATAGCAGGAAGCGATCATCAAACGCTAAGCTATTATATATATCTTTAAATAGATGTGGATTTTCCGGAGAGAAGAAGCCATCCCGAATTTGCTCCAGACATAATTTCAATTCTGGTTCTTTTTCAATATATTCTTGTGGATGATAGCTAAAAAAAAGTGATAAGGCAGATAAAGACCACGATTTGCTGAGTTAATATAGCAATATTGATTAAAAATTGTAGTTGACACTTAAAAGATTATCAGTCTATTTTTAGATCAAAATAATAAATAGACAACATAATCAATAATTTGCATTCGAGTCCGGAGTGGAAATTAACTCCACGATGCAGGCAAATCCAGTGGACGAATCAAAAATGGGAGGAAACACGCCGCCTGGATTCCACTACTAGCCAAAAATCATCTCCATTTATAATAGTTTACATATTTTGACTAAATCACCAAGTATAATCAATAATGGACTAATGTGTGAATGAGAGACACTAGATTTTTTGTGTACATCTACACTTTACGTGATTTATACCAATCACTTCTAACACAAAGCAAGTTAAAACTAATTAGGTTGTTAATTAACAATCGGACTATTCAAAATAAACTTAATGAACTAATGTATTTAGTTATATTGAGAAAATATTTGTATTTGGGAAGATCAAAATAGAATTATGCCTAAAAAGCAGATTCATTGAAATACTCGCTCCACAAGGAATAAACATATTGATATTAATACTATTTTTAAAATATGAGAAGATAGTAAAAGACGATAATGTAAATATTACCATAAAACTAGATTGTTTAACGTTGTCTCTGAAAATGGAGATAATTGAAGACAAATATATCAAAATAAAACTTGACACAAATGTAGGTAGATTTAATTGATCATATTGTGTTAACAGAACAAAAAGGAAAAACAACTAATCAAAAGATATAAGAATAAAGGGAAATAATGGATCAAAACATTCTCAAGATTCTGAAGATAAAACCAGGGTGTATCTAAACCGTAGTAAATGACACTGAGCTTTATCACCTAGGTCTTCAATCTTAAGTCATCCCAAAAACCATAACAACCAAAGTCTATAACTTCATTCAAGAATGGCCAGGCAGAAAGTGTTTTGATAATTTTATGCACCAACTAACTGAGTTGACACAGGTGAACAAACATAATATGTGATTTACACAATTTACCAAAGAAAATAAGCTCAACGAAATCGTTAACTTGGTAAGGGATAAGATATTATAAAGAGGACACTTAGAAGGAATTAGTAATCAAATACTTTCAACTATGACAGAATTTTCACGTCACAACTACTATAACAGAGACTGTTATTAACACATCCACTTAATTTGAGATATAAATTAACTGTAACAGATTGATAAATATAAATAAGAGCGTGATAATTAAAGGAACGAGTAGCAGATAATTATATTTCACGAGTAACACTAACCAGATCAGATTATTACATATCCCAAAGGACCGTTTCATGAATTAGAAAATGAGTTAATCAATAAAGGAAAACAATAAGTTTAATTTAAATGAAGTCTCAAATATCAAGAATAACATAAATAAATTGGATAATTTAAGTATATGGATTACATAAATTTCTTACATTAATGAAACGATTCAACTAGCTTATGAGTGTTAAAATCCCTATTGGGTACCAAGAAACAATATAAGTAAGATAAATAAACCTAAATTTTAATCAAACATCATTAAATTAAGTGAACTTATTAGATAGGTAATCTAATAAAAAATTATCAATTGCTATAAAAGAAAAAAAGTTCAATACAAGAATACAGAACAGTGAAATATAAGAGAAAGTTGTTATACACAATAATTGAAATTAGAAACATGTACTAAAACGGGTTTTTAAGCTTTATCTTACTAATTTTTAATTTAAATAGCCCCCAAATACCCTGGTACGACCGAGAGTGGGGAGAGTTTGCTCTCCCTCTCGAAATGCTCTCACATGGCCACGCATATATAGCCTCTGCCAGGGAAGTCCTACTCACTGCCTTCTCGTGGCATTACTGTTGTTTACGAAAATGAGAGGACGAAAAGCGAATGTCTGGCGCTTTAACCGGATTCCAAATCAATGGTGCACATGGGATCCAGTATCCTGCGGGAACAAATGGCGTATGAACCAATTGTAAGTCACCGGCTACCATGGGACTGCATCTCCCTACAATGCTCCACTGCCTTGTAGATCAGACCTTCAGGTCGAAGGCTCAGGGGTATCCCCCTAAGAAAACCACCTGCTTAGGTTTGGGCACCCGGGCAGTATCACAGCCCTCATACATATCGAATGAGATTTGTGTGGCGCATATGTATTTGGTGCCTCCTTGTACCAATATCTATGTGTTAAAATAAATAAATAATTAATTAATTAATTTCAATAATCAATACTAAACTTAAGTGCTTTGTATAGATAGCAAAAGAATTACTAGAAATGTATTTAGTATAGTGATTTTTTTGAAAATCGTAAACATATTTTACAGTTTTTATTTAGGACAATCTAATCAACTAATAACAACATGTAGTTGAATTAAGAAATAATACATTTATATGTGTTATTGATTGTGAATAAATACATCATTATTTTAGGTCATTAATAAAGTGTAACTTGTTTTCATATTTGTTATTTCTATCAGTAGATATATTAGAATTGAATAAACAACACAAGTTTACTATTGTCCATAATGACATTCTGTTAACTGGAATGAATTTTATATTTAAATGGAAAAATAATTAATGTTAGTAAATTACTGTTTACTATGATATAAGAGTGAGAAATAATGAATATTCTACACTAGTTAGAATTTATTGAAATCATAAAATTTATTCACCTTAAATAAACTAAAGACTTAAGTGATAAATGAAATAATTCCATATTTATTATGAGGATGGTGAGAATCGTTTAGTTGGATTGAATAACGTGGAAAGGATTAAGAATTCATTATCAGTAGGTTTGATTTAGTCACCTGTATAACATTTTGGATTGAGTTGTAGAACTGAAACTGACTATACATAATTTCTTCTTATCACTAAGGTAATACTGTCCCATCTTAAACTACACAAGTGTTTTGAACTCAGTGCATAATGATCACTTTTGTAAGAGTTGGAAGGTCAATATCAGCATCTCATTTAAGCTATTATCTAAAGATGAACAGTAGTGGTCTCGCCAGTGATGATTCTATATAAACCACTGTCCCTAATAGGCCTAAATGACTCCCGAATATCACTTTACGCAGCGAATAACTGTAACATTACTTTTAACTAAGTTACATACCATCTTGTTTCGTCATTTCACGAAATTATATTCGGTTTGGGGTTATGGATCAACCTATTCAGATAAGACTGAAGAGATTCATCACCATGAATAACCTTCAGACGAAATTCAGCATCTATCCTCATGAACACTGAGTAGTCCAAACAGGAGTCATTCTTTTGTCATCCCAACCGTCTAGCTAATTACTTAAGCACACATTTTAATGTCCGTATTTCTATGCCATCATTTTTAGTTTGCTTATTCAAGAAAGCGTATGATAACAGAGTTGAATTATTTGAGTCTAAGCAATTATTCCAACAATAGTGCTATAGGCAATAAGTCACTATTTTTCACTCATAATTTTTGAACTGAAACTGACTGTTTTAATAAAGTTCACCTTTGAAATCACCTGAACTGAAATTAGAAGAAACGCAGGATAAGATTACAAATAACTTGTACGAAATCACTGATACACGAGTGGTTAAAAATTACGCCTACAAAAAAGTGCCCAATGAGCACATATCTGTTTTGAAACGTGTATGAATTTTGTTCTGTTCGTATTTCATATTGGAATGGCAAAATTGACTTAGTTTTCAGTAGAATGCAAACTGTATTTTGGAAACTGTATGTTTTACCAATGAGTTTTGCCACATGATATATAAATCAGCCGAATAATATTGGTGTCGTACAGGGAAACTCCGCCTTTTACTCTTCTAGAGTTACTCCCGGCCCCAAGCCCGGGTAAAGCAGGGTTTGGCATGGGGTTAGCAACCCCATCCCGTAGAAAAATAATTCGCTAAAAAACGCTAACCAGGAAAAATAATTCAAACCATTTAAACTCTGCCCTGGGAGTTAGAAAGTCTTCATTCAGAACTATGACGCCTCATGGTGAAAGCCGAGTTCCTTATAAATAGTTGTCTACGCAAGATACTCAACATCTATTGGCCGGATACCATCAGCAACAGCCTTCTGTGGAAGAGAACAAACCAGCTTCCAGCTCAAGAGGAAATTAGGAAAAGACGATGGAAATGGATAGAACATACACTACGCAAGTCATCAAACTGCATCACAAGGCAAGCCCTAACTTGGAATCCTGAAGGGAAGCGGAAAAAAGGAAGGCCAAAGAACACATTACGTCGGGAAATAGAAGCAGATATGAAAAGGATGAATTACAACTGGACGGAGCTGGACAGGATTGCCCAGGACAGGGTTGGATGGAGAATGCTGGTGAGTGGCCTATGCTCCTTCACGAGGAGTAACAAGCGTAAGTAAGTAAGTCGTACATGGACGCTTGTGTGCATATATATATATATATATATATATATATATATATATATATATATGACAAACCTTTTTCGGACAAATATAGAGAAACTAAGATGTACATGATACTTAGTTTATTGTCCAAAAAGGAATAAAGAAAAATGCAAGTTAGAAAACTCATGTTTTTGCTAAAATGTAGACAGCCATACAATAATTTGATCAACAAGGAAAAAGGAAACCAATAACTTATATAAGCCATAAAAATAAAATAATTTTGACAGTTAGGAAAATAAATGATTGAGAAATTCATACTGTTATAATATTATATTAAATCTTACCCAACTTTGTGAAGAGCATCAACTTGCTCTACGGTTAGACCGAATACAAACATATTCTCTCGACCCATTTCTTCACACATCTCTACGTTCGCTCCATCCATAGTACCAACAGTCATAGCTCCATTAAGCTAAATGCAAAACAGTATAGAGAAATTGTTTCTTAAACATGTATGTGTAACAATAACATTTCCAGAAAAAAATAACTATCTATTTTCATCTTACAATAAAATATCACAAACTGTTTTAAAACAACATATTAACGATACGATTTTCAATAAAATCACCAACAAAGTCTAAAATTAAATACAAACAATACGGAAACATAAAACAAAAGTGACCTGCTAAATTTTTTAGCGATCATAATAGAACAAATGTAAGAAATTTTAGTGGGAAAAAGACAGGGTACTGTTGCTCTCTAGAGTGTTACTTCTGAGAAGTATTATCACTTAAAATCTATTTACTATAAAAATTAATTTAAAATTGACCAAAGTACAAACTTAATGATCTCACTATAGTTAATTGGAATAAGATTAGATCTCATCAGAAAGTGTTCCTGTTTTTAATTTGACACCAATGAATCTGAAATGAAAAATCAGTTGTTTCTGGGTTTTTTAAAAAAAAACTCAAGTGAAATCAATAGATTTTTTGTGGAACCTAAATCTGCTAACGACACTGTTATATAATGGCAAACTCTAATGAAACTTAATCTCTTTTTGATAGGAGAGTAGTATTATCAAAAGACTATGACTATACATTTTCTTACTCAGCATTTCAAGAAAGTTCACAACCTTCATTTAGTTTAGTAACTACATTTCGTCTCTTACTCAGCTACACTACATTGGTTTTAAAAATAGTAGTACAACAACTGTAATTGTCTCAATCAAGGTTAGTATACATTTTTTTCGAGGTCACATTCTAAGTGTCTTGTTACTTAGTCAAGATGATGTCAATTTCATATAGTTTTGAACAAAAAAGGAAATCTATCAGCCTCCACTGAGAACACAAATTAATACGTATCCCGTATGATAATAATTAAGAGAAGTAAATACAATAATGTTTGTTTAGAAACAGTAAAATACATTAGAACTACAACTCAAAGTAAGAGAGATAATGTATTTTACTTTCTAAAATATGATAGTCATTTTCTAACCAAGTATTAAGTTAATGCAGAACATGGAGAAATCAGAAATTAAAAAAATAAACAGAATGTTTATTAACAGGTCAATATTTCGCATTTTATGTGTAGACTAAATTTAAATAATTTTAGTGACTTACCATAAATTTCATGTTACCGGTACCCGACGCTTCTGTACCAGCTGTAGAAATTTGTTCTGACAATTCAGCGGCAGGGAATATTTTTTCAGCCAAAGATACACGATAATTTTCAAGGAAAATAAGCTACAATACAAAACGTGTGTAGAAACAGATGGAAATAACATGTATGCTGATTACAAAATACCAATACAGCGTGGTATGGTTGCTTGTTATGTAAAAGCTAGGTATATGCAAGCATAAAATTGTTATGTTATTAAATTGGATTCTATACTGCGGTTGACGTTTTGGCTGTCACGTGTATAAGTTTGAAGTCGAATTCCTGGTGAATTTTTCATGGGATTAACCGCAAAATGGGCAAAACTGAATGTGGTGATTTCCAGAAAGTTAAAATATTTACTAGCGAGGAAAAAAATTTTCTATTTGATCGAGATCATTTAGCTTAATTAGGACGTTAACATTCAATTCGTCCAATTTCTTTAACTATGAATTTTTCAAACCAGAGTAAATACACAGATATCCAAGTGTTCTCGGTTCTTTAACCAATATGTCCATTAATTATGACATAGAACATCTATATTTCTGAATTTGCTAGCTAACAATAACAAACGAGGAAGATTAGTAATACAATTAGTAAGAAAATAACAGGTGTAGAGTCATATTTCAATTATAGTCAATTAGTGAGCAATTTTTAGTTTTTCTGTAGAATGCATAGTGAACTACCAAACGGATGCAACAATAATTATTAACACTTACTTTAATTCTACCACGTACAACTGGATCATTATTGACAACTTTACCTACGGAATTGATCAACTTGATAATAAGTTTGGCCATATGATAACCTGGAGCAGCTTTACCCCCAATCATAACTGTACGTGGACAGATTGGCATTTCAGGATTAGCTTTAATACGATTGTACAAAGTGATGACATGTAAGCAGTTTAATAGTTGACGTTTGTACTCGTGAATTCTTTTGACCTAACATTTGGAAAATCAAGAAACTTCCGTCAAAAGGATATATATATATATATATATATATATATATATATATATATATATATAATTAGAAAAAGTGGTTATTGAACTTCAAGATAAATAAAAAGATTTTGAAAGATCGAACGTAGAATTTCGAAGGTTCAAATAGTTGGCGTTCACTGTATGTAGTAGGAAAGTTAAGTTTAATATGGGTTGTATGATAGCAAAGATAGGAAACCTGAGAAGTTTTGACATGTGATACTGAATCCTATGGTATGTAATGAATCTATTGACTTGTCCAGTATCGGAGATATTTTTTGTTAAATGAACCAGATTGATACTTTGAGATGATTGACAGTATGATAACAGAGTCGAAATGAACTCTTTTAGTGAATGTTTGTTACTAATTTATGCATGTGCTGTATGTAGTTTAGGAATTTTTATCATTAACCTAAAAATAGAAATAGTACAATTGGAAGAAGCATTTTATAGCCTACCCCCTCTACATTAACTGTAACCAAGAGAATGGGATGTTTAGTGAAAAACTATTCATGCTAAACCCTGAAAACTCAGTGATAAATGCAGAAGAAGGAATAAAGTGCTTCTCAAATAGATAGAATCTCCTAGTAGAAGTTCATGAGTTAGAAGAAATTTACTCATACTTTGACCGACACTTAAAAAATTAAAATCATTCTAATACCAACATTCAGCTGTTTGTAAGAAACAAGTGAACAACCAAACCTTTATTTTACATAAATGATTGGAACACATCAGCAGTATCACTTAGTGTGAAGTGAATGCATCGAAGCGGGTTTTATTACGTGAATCGAAACGTATTTCTGACTCAAAATCTTGTTGAATACACCAATGAGGTACACAGCTCAATGAATTAGCATTTGTCTCATGGAAAAAATAGAACTGACAGTATCAGCAATGAGATATGTAAGGAGACATTATGACTCAAGTTTAATTCCTCATCACTGGTTGTGTCGGTTCTGAAATCCTAATCTCAGTCGGTTTATGATGCGGTACCAGCAACATTCGATGATTTGAGGTGTCAATCAAAACAAATATCAAGCTAAATACCTATCAAAGACGCCACAACGTTCAAAATTAAGGTCAGTTTATATAATTAATCATTTTAAACAATCATGATATTGGCAATTTATTTTCGAAATAACTACATAATTATTCATCAACATATTTTACCAAAATTAACTGAAGCAAGTAAATCTCACTTGGATATCAAATAGAGATGCCGGGTTGATTGTTACACCATAATGTTGTTCCAGATAAGAAGCAAATTTAGCCTTGTTTTCCCGTTTGATACGTATCAACTGACGTAGAAAATTAACATCATTTACACGTGATTTTAACTGAGCGATTTCGTTAAGGTTAACAATCCATGATTCACTGCCATTCATTCCTTCCATAATTAAGTCTGACAAATTTGGATTACATAATAGCAACCAACGACGAGGTGTAATACCGTTTGTTTTATTCTGAAATTTATTTGGCCATAATTCAGCGAAATCTTTGAAACTGCAGCGAAACAAAATTGTACAGGTCAATGAAGAAAAGAGGATAATCAATGGTGAGTACTGGAGGTATAAGATAAGTCTCAGTTAGTGACTATATAGAGACATAACTATATGAGAAATAACAACATGTAATGGTTATCAGACTAAAAAATTAAACACCTGCTGACTGTATAGCGTTTCTCTTACAACGAAATATGAGCCAATTTTACTTTGTTAACTTGGATGACACTAAGTAACTATTTAAATGAGAGAAATTGAAATGAGTTTAAAACTTTATCAGTAAATAAATTTAACTGACAGGTCACAATTCATTGAGTAGAAACGAACAATCTGTATTGAACAAAAGATATTTTAGCGATTATAATTTAATGCTACAAGGGTTTGAATCATGAGTTTTACATGAAAACTAGAGATATAATTCGACCATTCAGACTGAAGTGGACCGGTTTTTCAAACATGTGACTAAGCGGGAAAAGCCGAGTTCTTGTGCCGTGGAAGCTTTATTACACAAGTTAACAGAATGATTTTGTCCCATAGATCCTAAGCTAACTGGATGAAAAACTAGTAGTTAATATTGGATTTGCAAAAAGAGAGAAACCGTTACGAATGATGACAAACATTAACGATGTGATGGACTTCTCAACAAGAAAAGTATTAGTTGCTGTAATGAAACATTGTAAAACACAATAAATAAAGATATGAACAGACGATGATGGTATCTAAGTGAAAACCAAAACAATTATAAGGAGAAGTGAACTTTCTAGGAAGTATAATAACTTCTATTCACGAAATAAAACACCATCTATGAAAAAAATTACACCAACTGCGGAAAACACAACAACTTTCGCATATAAGAGCACAGAATAGGAATGAGGTGACATGATATGTTATCATATCAATGTACGTAAAAAACAACAGGCATGAATTCGGTTACGAAAAGCCTCTAAATTATGGACTGAGGATCTTTTAGAGTGCTGGGAAATTTTAAGTGGTGTCTCATTTAGATCGACTGACAGTCAATATACATATCGACAGACATCCCATTTATCAGCTCATACTTAAAAAGTCAACTAATCACATGGTTAAAGCTCACTGAAAAAGACAGTCAATATGAATACAACAATATATGGAAACAACAAAACCAAGGAAGACAACCAATTAAAAAGCAAGACAATCAATACGCAAACCCCATTCTGATATATGGAACAGTTGGATTCACAAACTGATATTAGCTAGACCACCAGTGAAAGCCTGGAAGCATCTAACAGCAGCATTCACTCATGACTCTCGGAATAGCTCACTAATGACCAGCTCTCAGTTCAAGTATGAAGCCATGACCAGTGGAAATCAACCACATCGGAAGTGATGCAACCATCCACCTGAAGTAATAGATAAAAGTTGCGGAATATCTTTAGTTAGTTAAAGTTGGACATTTGCAACATCGGACGCCAACTCAGTGGTCTAGAGGTTAGGCGTCCGCTCACGTGTCTGGAGGTCTTGGGTTCTATTACAGGATGCTGGGTTATGACTGCGTATTGCTGTGGATTCCCATAATAGGACGGAACCTCTATTAAGTGCTTTTCGGTTTCCAATGGAGGTTTAAATAGTATTGGTTCATGATTTGACCTAGGAAAGTTCTACGGTCTCCATAACTCTCCCCATGAATGAAATAACTGAAAAGCTACCTTTTAAATGAGGTAGGGCCTGATGATGTCAATAGAGACGATGAAACATCCTAAATTAAGCGATTTAGAGATCAGAGAACGCAACATCATCAAAAAGTCTATACTTTACAATCCCTATTACTATAAACTATCACTATCGGTCGTGTTTTATTAGTTGGAACTCCATCACTTTGAAAGTTAATTTTTTGCAACGCACATGTAAATTACTTTTAAGCAATATTAAATAATAATAAATTGTGATGACGTGAATCTATTATAAAGTAAAAACTCTTACGTTTGAGTTTTCAATAAGTGTGAATGTATTGCTGCGACTCCATTAACTGTGTGAGATCCTACAATACACAAGTAGGCCATATTAATACGTTTTTCGCCTTCTTCTTCTACCAATGACATACGACGAATACGGTCATCATCGTTTGGCCATTTCGCACGTACAATCTAGTTAATAAAAGAGATAGAAGAAATCAAAGGAAACGTACGGTACAGACGCTTATTTACGCAGGAACCAGTAAATGTAAATCTGTTGATTTATGTAAAGATGATTTTAGGGAAAGAAATTTCGATATGCATTAGAACACAATTAACATTTCAACTTTTAAAAATATCTTAATTAAGTTAGCTTGTCTGTGAAAATGACGTGAAATTTATTTTGTAAAACTTGGGTAGTAATGTGATAATAGAGTTTAATATCTGTTCATGTACTTAGTGAGTTACTAAGAAAAAAATTATAAAAGCCCTTGACTTTGCGGGCAAGGTCAAAAAGTGAAAACTGTTAGTCAATAATATTTGGTTGGCCAATTCAGTAAGCTTCCATTATAATGTACAAAGTCTATAGTTATTTGATCATAGAAATCTTGCACATGCTGTCTGCATGTACCAGAAACACAAAAGACATTTAAAAGTTGAAAGACTACTTTTAAATGACGAATGAAATCAGTTGGTTATAATTTTGAATTGATCAAAATAAATGATTAAAGTACATATGGAGAATGACTAAAATTCAAAGTTAAAATTCCAAGGCATTCAGAACCAAAAAGATTGTTTGATTCGAGCTCAGTTATTACATTCCTGTCTGGAATCCTTAAAAGAGCCAGATTGTCAGTCCATGTTAAGTTACACACACGAACTAAATGTACGAAATATTACAAAATGATGAGTCAGAGTGAATGCTCAATGATGTCATTCTGATCAGCGTTTGCTTTGAATTGTTCCAAATGAAACAATTGTCTAAAATAAGTGAGACTGTCGGAGTATCATCAAATCAAAAAGTTAATTAATTTCGATTCATTGTAAAGTATAAGTTACCATTTATGCTGCTTTCTGTACCTCTGTTCAACCAAGTGGAGTAAGATGTAATAGATAAAACGTGGCCCTTAGTGCAGTTCAGGACGCATATGTCGTCCCACTTGAGACTCGACAGCTGAACGTGCCTGGACTCGAACGCACTACCGTCCACTTTCACACCATTGCGTTATCCACTTAGCTACATTCGATCTATTCTATATAATAAAGGGATTTTACACAGAATGCACATATGCCAAGACTGATCAAATTTCGGTCAAAATATCAAAAATGAGATAATCCAAACCATTTCAGGTGCTGTAACGTTCATAAGTACAGTAAACAGAGACAAACCCTTTTGAATTCAATCAAACGTTTGCAGCTGATGGGGAACATAATACATACATTAGTAAACATTTTGTGAAAACATTTAATCTGTTTTTGATGCTCGAACTGTAAGTTTTCAGTCAACTAAACTAAAAATCACCATACCAAACGTTTTATGAGTTAATTAAGCTACTTTTAGGTGAGAAAATACACTGCTGAAAGATGATGTTCAATTTACTTTATACTTTTCTTATTAGTAGACCTGTGCATACGATAAGTCATTTCATTCATAAAATCTCATAGCAAAATATCATTACATTTGTATCCTTGTATATATATATTAAGATTCACATTGAAACTCACATCTAAGAACTCAGCATTAATTTGATAGATAATTTCTAAATGACGTGGTAATATATGCTCCAATAATGTGACAGGCCAACGTTCCAATGCTTCAGGTAAGATTGTATGGTTTGTATACGCAAATGTATGGTAACTTATATCCCATGCCTTTTTATGTGTAGATAAAGAGAACATAAGATTAGGTTACGAAATACTTTACAGAATAACCTAAGGAAGATTAAGACACAAGAGTATTTAAGAGGTGAAATATGAAATTAGTAATATTGTAATTTGCATCATATTACTATTATTCACAGTTTGTGAAGGATGTGAATAAACTAAATTTTTTTAATCATTAATAAGAACCCAAAATATTTCAAGTAATGATTAGTTTACCGGTCAGTCAGTCATAAGTAACGTAAAAATTAGCATATATGTGCTTTGGATTAGGTTGTCACACTGTATCGGCACAGTGTGATTAAATTATCGGGACAAATGCCAGTGTATTAGCAGCAAAGTATCAGTGTTAGTAGAAAAAACTAAAAATAGTGACAAAAAATAGCGACTTGAGAAGGGGGAATTAATTTGTGGAATCAAAAGTACTGGATAACTTTACGACTCAAGATCTCAGAAAAGATGAAGACTGAATGTATCTACACAATTCGGACTGATTTTGAGACGTCATCCAACTTCTTCAACTATTGGTTATGGTAATCACTCATATAGTCTAAACCTACCAACAGTCAATGATTTGATTGGCCGATACTATGTATCTATTTAGTTGTCCCTAGCTTTTTTCCAAACCCGTTTCCAACACCGGTAAACATCATCTGTTGAGGGAGGTGGCTGTTAGACAAATGTAATACATGATTTTGATTGAGATCATGAATCGATCAATATTAGACCAAAATAGAAAACCTGGAAGCACTGGATGGCCGTTTCGTCCTAATACGGGACTCAGCAGTGTACACCCACGATCCCATATGTGGGATCCGAATCTAGGGCTATCGGTCTTACGTGTGAACGCTTAACCTTTAAAGAGAGCAAGAAAAAAGATTGGTGCAGAATAATGTGGGTCCATTTTATTTCGTTAGGTTCTTATCAGCTGCTTACAACCTAAAATATTTGAAAATCAGAGTTATTATAATTATTGACATACTTATACATAAGAGGGTGATTAGGATGAATATATGTATCACCACTGAGCCTACATCCAATGATGTCAATGTTTAACTTCAACCGATCCATGATCTTGCTCAACCCTTCATCCATTGTCTGAGGTAGATAACTGTCTTCAACTTACATGGATATGACCCCACTGCTCACAGCTTCTTACTAGAACTCCAAGAAATACCTCTCGAAACTACTCACTAGTGAACATATGTTAATTATCAGCATGGGTTTGTGATGATTGAGTTTTTGATTGAGATCATGAGTCGATCAATGTTAAACCACCATATGTCTTAACCCCTCTAATCGATGAAGATTCAATACCTCATCAATTTATTTGCCATCCTCGGCTAATACTCACGTGTTTAGCATCAGCATATTTTACTACAACATACTATATTACTAATTACGGTGTTTGTTAGGTGTTATAATATTCAATCACTTACTGAAAGTAATCAAAATGGTAATACAGCTTCCGGTACATATTAAAATTTGTCTTCCCAGACAACATACATAGTATAATAGCTATGTTTATTTTCAATGGAAATAACCAGGCTTGGTGACCAAACTCGTACATTTTTGTGATTAAGAGAGATATCACTGTATCATTGTCGGGTGGAATACTACCTAAGCTCGAGTCAAGATCAATCTTCCCAAGTAAAATGTGTCAGTGGTTTGACATATTCTTATTAGTGCCGTTTTGTAGTAGAAATATAGAATGGCAGATAATATTCTGTCTATTTGAAAAAAAGAATTTCAAGTGTCAGAACCTTGAGTGATTATTTAACTCTATGTTAGAAACTTACTTTTTTCCACTCTAAACCTTCCAAGTCACTAAGATACGTAGTAATTCAGGAATTGCCAGTGAGGGATGTGTGTCATTCAATTGGATAGCAACTTTGTTGGGAAATTCATCAAACGATCGATGGTGGGAATCATTACTTCTAAAACGCCGAATTATATCCTGTAAAAATGAACAATTAGAACACAAAGGTTAATATATGCATAAGTGAATCAACAAAAAGGATTCTTTTTTATAAACTCAACATGTTAATGCGAATTTTATTTTGATGAATTCGGTAACATTGCATGTTGGCTATGTAATAGGGTTGCTAGGTAAAAGCAAATTATACACAGTATACTTACAAAACACTAATTACAACTAATATATATATATATATATATATATATATATATATATATATATATATATATATATATATATGTCTTGAAAAGGTGAACCATAGAGTTTAGACTCGATGGTCTAAAACACTGTCAGCTTCTATTTTATTCATGCGAGTCACATAGAAAAATGGAAGAGTTGGTTTCGTAAGATTTGTCTTTACGGAGTTTTTATATGACAAAATTAAGTAGAATGCTTTCAGGATATTACCTGCAAAGTGGCAGCAACTAAGAAATACTCTTGACGAAGGCGAAGTTCCTTCCCAACAAAGAAATTGTCATTTGGATAAAGAACTCTGGATATATTTTCCGCATGATTACGTGCACATACAGCCTGAAGCAGAGGAAGAATAAAAAGAATCATCAGAGTATTTCTGGAAGGGTTAAATGAGTGTGATGAAAATAGAAAAGCAAACATACTACGATCTTATACATTTTCACTTATTTTCACAAAAAAAGTATGTTTTGTCTTGCATAACGCTGGAATAGATAATAGCACTGAACAAGATAAAGTGTGACTAAAAAAGGTAACCTGATGCACAGGAATCGAGTTAATATTGTTCAATAGAAAACTGCTTAAGATGTAACGGAGTACAAAATGGTATTGTTTCGAACACCATAATTGGCAACAGCACAAGACATCTATTCTGTTTAGGCTGCAATTATATAAAATGGAAGTTTCAACTTCAATACCAATATATCAGCTAACGGCAAACAAATTCATACTGTAACTAACGCTGTTTTCAGCCAAATCAGTTATGGTAGTTAAGAAATTTCAACAGATTTATAAGAGATTTTGGACAAATAACAAATTATCTTACGTTTATGTAATCACCCATATTAAATATACCGAGATCAAAACTTTTTGGAGCTTTGGCAGACCACAGCCGAAGAGTATTGCAAGTGTTATTTCTATACCCTGGAACTGGGGTGTCATAGGGCATTGCAAAGACTGGATGAGCATCAACCCATCGTCTACGTCCATTTCCAGCATCTTCAACACGCCCGTAAAAATTGACAGGATAGCAATATTCTGGTCTACCTTTTTCCCAAGGGTTTCCGAAGCGTAACCACTCGTCGGGTTCTTCAACCTACGTACAAAGTGAAAATAAGGGTAAATATGCGATAAACTTTAGGCTAAAACAACCCTAGAATTACTAACTCTTGTGCATTTGATCAATAACAAACATTGTAAGTCAAAATTTTCCTTGCTAATTTATCCTAACTAAAGAAAACTTATGCAAGACTATACATATCATTTACCATAGGATTTTATATAAGGCAATTATATCTTGAGGTAGCTTGTGGTAACAACGGCTATCACAACTTCACTTTAAATCAGGATGAGACAGCTTCTTTTCTTACTTGTTCCGATTACTGCAAAACGTAAAATTTGTAAGGATGATTTATTCGGTAAGACTCCAGAAGAATTCGAATTACTCTTGAATTTGTTTAGTTATGATAAGACTAAATTCAATAATTATTAATTAGGGAAATTATTGAGCCAAACAGTTTTCATTTGAGCACAAAATAACATGACATTAATGCAACTGAATAATATACTTAATAAAAGTCCAGTGAGCGAAAAATCACAGTTAGTTAATTAATATAAATCTAATGAAATACTCCGCAAACCTTGAGCTGAATTAATCCACGATCAAATGAACAGACATCACACTGGATTAAAATGAAAAATGAACCTAATTTAAAAATTAATGCTTGATCCTTCACCTAATTTCTTTCTGCTAAATCGTATTTTGGAATTTATATCCCGAAAGTAAAGGTTAGTTCAGCGCTTATTTTAATTTTTTATTATGATATACAGTTCACAAGTGTGCTTACCTGCCAGCCATCACGAATAGACTGTTCAAAAATGCCATAATCATAACGGATGCCATATCCATAAGCGGCCAACCCTAATGTTGCCATGGAATCCAAGAAACAGGCAGCTAGACGTCCTAACCCACCGTTGCCAAGACCAGCATCAGACTCCATTTCCTCTAGTTCCTCAATATCCAGTCCCAACTGTATTCACGTAAGCAAAATCAGAAATTAAATACTTCAACAGTTATGTCAGACAGACTATCTGAAACTACTCATTGACAAAATCTCTTATGAACTGACTGATTAGTTAGAATGACATAGGCCAAAACACCACCACATTATTTTATAACATTTTTGAATCTTGTTTTGAATATAGTTTCGCTATCCATGTGAAGGGTATTGTTGGGGACGTACCAAATTAAAGAAGTATTTGGTTACATTTCAAAAGATAATGTTGACAAACAAAATATGGGTCTCTTATGTATACATCAATGTTTATCAAAAATACACCGAAATACTTCTGCCAAACATGAGAATACACTAAATAACAAAGAAAAGACATGGTTACATAAATCAATGGTTTGTTTGTGTGGCGAAGATACATTTGAAGAGTTTTCTGATATTTCCTTTTGTCGTCAAAGCCTATACACTCAATTACGTTTTGTATATGACAAGAAAACGTTTTCATGCATGATGTCTATATGCGATCGACAATAATCGGTAGGAGAAATAAAAATGACACTTGTTGAGTACAATTTTCAAGATGCTTCTTTAGCGTGCTAAAGACCGAGATGACTGATCAAAATGGTCATTATGAATTCAAATAAACGTTGAGACAATGAACAAAGTTGAAACATTTTACTGCTAAAGGTGGCTTATCTTTCTGGAGTGTGAACCCCTCAAACAATAATGGTGTAGGAGAAAGCTATGGATCAAGCTTATGTAATACGCTATCATCTATTGTTTGCTTAAATTATGCGAAGTGAACCAATAATAATAGGTATTGAGTGGTTTAACATGGTACTACTACGCTTCCATTTAATTTTTGTATGGTGAAGAACGGATTTAATTGCATTAAAACTGACTAGTGACTTTTATTATTCAGTTAGTTTCATAACTAAAATACATAAATCAAGGAAAAATTGACAATTAACCGTTAAAACTATGGTTTGAGAATCTCACATTCTATTTGTGTCAATAAACGAAGAGCTTTACCTTTGCATTAGATCTACATGAAATAACCCTATCAATATATATATATATATATATATATATATATATATATATATATCACCAATGAAATGCCCCTTAGTTGTGGTAAAGCTACAATTGAAGTAAGTCTTTGGTTCACCGATATAAGCACGGTTTCAAACTTTACTCAACTTCGAATTTTACTAAACCTAAAAGGACCTGGCCAGTCACTACATTAAGGGTTTATAATGGTGTAATTAAGTGTACGTTTTAAAAATTTGGGGTGACCGAATTGAAATATGATATTGCTCTTTGAAGCCATCGATCTCTGTTAAGAGCGATTTGAAACCTTGAACTTTGCAAGATATTAAAACTCACTTGGTACATCGCCTCATCTACTGCAGCAGCAATATTTACATTCAGCATTGTATTGGTTAAAGTGCGTCCCATGTAAAATTCTAAGGACAAATAGTATATGCGCTGCAATATGAAAACAAGATAATCATTTTTATTTGTTTGTAGTAAGATAACAGGAATAATAATACTGAGCAACAAAATCCAAATTGTTTACAAGTTTGTACACTAAGATGAAGTGGGGAGGGGTTGATATCAAACGATAAGCACGTGGTTAACGAGATATTTGATAGGTTAATCTTCTTGTGACTAAGAGGCGCATCACAAAAATAAACACCTCATTTAGATCCTTTCAAGTTAATGAATTATAATCAATTCGCACAACAAAAAATGTTGTTCCTAAGATAGTAGCACAGTAACGTAGTCAGTGCCGGATATTGAGTCGTAGCAAAGCAAGATTTAAAAGGTTTCACCAGTGCGAATCGACCTCTTAAAACTATTTCGTCAATGTTTAACAAGATTGGATGATCAGAAGAAACATATAATGTTTACACAACCGTTTTTAGTGCTAAACAAAGCAGTCTAGTGAAGTGGCGCATTACTTCTTTGAAAATGGAAGAAACACGTCACTTTTGATGTCTGCACACGGAGAGACCTCGAAAATCACCATAAAGTAACTTTAATTTTGATTCTGTAGTTTTAGGGTACTTTATCAAAGAATTGCCAAGTGGCTAGGTCAAAAGAAACGAAGTAATTACATCGGCCACGTGAGTATTAAGACCTCCGTGTGCTTTTTATATCAATTTCGACCAGACAAGGAATCAGAATAGTTTTAGCAATCCACAAATTATAAAGACAGCTACTATCAGTGAAGGCAATGAACCATCAATTAAATGAGATTTTATTTGAACCTTGGTTTTAAAATGTAAGTAAATTCTGTATTCGATTGCCAATAATTCGTTTCACTGTTTTCACCATCACAATGTTTACTCACATAGAACTTTGTCTCACTGAAGTGAATTACATAAATATTGATAATAAGCTTATTTACTTATTTGTTTGTTTGTTTGAACACATAAATATTGGTGCAAGGGGGCACCAAACATATATACGCCACACAAAACAATGAGAATGAGAAGAGAAAACGAGAATAGCGACGAGATTAGTGTAAGGTAGTGTATAATAATAATGATAATAATAGTAATGAGGGAAACGAAAGGGTATAATAAGCTGTCAAAAATGTTTATATTTCGAAAATCCCATACACCAAAAGGAACATAGGTACATATTACACGTTCTCCTAAAAATGTGTGGTACATATTTCAGCTAGCACAAATTACTAACGAAGTAACATATCAGAATATAGTAACGCTTCGCATAATTTTGTCATAATTTTAGGTTGCCAAACCTCAAAACATTGTAGGTTTTTAATGACCTGTTCATTAGTCCACTGATCAAAAGTGTTGAAAACATCATTGTTTTTTAATACAAAAGGCAACATTTTAAGATTTTTTAAAGATGAGAATATACAAACGTTCTGAATATATATCACAGATAGTCCGTGATAAATTGCAATCGTAAAGAATTTCGCCTGTTGTTTGATCACTTTTATACAAAATAACTTTACGATAGGAATGACCGAAATAATCTTACTTCACAAATACTTTATTAACGCAAGGAAGTTGACGGAGTCTTCCTAAGTTGAAAAAAAAACAAGAAATTGACACTTCAAATTACACAAAAACGGTAAGATATCGAAAATATGATTAACCTTTGGATCCTCTCTATGGTAAAACTGCTGAGATCGAATCCATCGAGAGCAAAGATGATCCCAAACTGTACGTGCTAACGCTTGATAGAAATCGAGGGACGTTGCGACGTTCCTATCTTTAACACCATCAAAATGCAGGTGTCTGTTGAAGTCAGATTTAAGATTTGTCACATTTTCCAACTGAGCAATCCCTCTAACACTTATTTGCTTCCTTTTCTCAGCATCAGACAACATATCACAATTTTGTAGCTTCAAAAACGTTGAATAAGTTGATGCAACCGAAACAGTAAAACAAATAGTGTTTCAACAGCATTGAACAAACTACATTGAAACTCAAACATGATGTTTTGCGACATTTTGTCGCTCAATAACCTGGAAGTCTGCATAAATATTCTTTCATAGTGTTAAAAATAATCTTTTAACGGGATACTGAAAGTTAGACAATACGCACAACTTACAAAGCAACACAACGATTTCATTACCGAGACGGAGTGAAGAATACATATGCAAATTCAACGGCTCCAAAAAATGTGCAAACAACAAATTATTGAGAAATATGGTGAACCATTCGCGGAACAGGTGGAGAGAAAAGCCTACGATTTCTACTTAAGAATTATAAAAAACCAGACAGTACTTTCACGATAGAAAATTCTTTGTGGCTTTATTTTTGACTTTACAATATATACAAATTGTAAACTTATCTTTCTACTATACTAGTCATGACAATTCAATAAACGTTTTCCCAATTTTTATTTCCGTCTTCGTCATATTTTCATGGGGAGGTATACCAATCGTTTCAACGAATAATTGTGTGTGAGAATTAAGGATTTGTAGTACTGAATTAGTTATAACTTAAAGTTATATCACTGTTAATTGTGACTTCCACGTAAAACCTTGCAGGTCAGGCAGCCGCCTGACATATTTTCCGTTGTCGGATTACATCTATGATCCTTAATGTTTCCTTAAGTCTAACACCAAACAACCTTTGGCCTATTCAAGCATATATATAGTTATTATTGATAATATAGGTCATTCCGATTCTTTGCTTTCTATTATGTCAATTGTTTCATACTATTTCTTACCTCAATCTTAAATTATAATACATATTTAGTTGCATGCAGCTTGTGAGAAACCACGAAATATAATGCAGTCACATTATTCTACATCAATATTTGTTTCGGCTTTATTTAAGCTATACGTATACATACTTAAAGGATTTATAACGTTAAACACTGAGTATGGTTTTTATATTTATATTTAAATAACTCATTAGATGAATGAACATGGCTCAAAGTTCGTCGATGTTAACGAAGAATCCCCTATTGTCAAGCAAGTACCTTTTGATGTCCTTAAGGGTCATGGTTCAGACTTAAATAGGGTTAATTATCATGGCAGTGATTCTAGCCTTAATTCGATGTCAGATGATGTAAAAAATCTTAGTTTAAAGGAGGAGCAAAGGCCTGAATTACTAGGAAAGAGCATGTCGCCTATAGTTCATGTTGTTGGCCCAGAGCTACCAAAGGTTGAACTGAGTTATTTCGATGGAGAGCCAAGAGGTTATTGGAAATTTATAAGGCAATTTGAGACGTATGTAGCATCGAGAGTCACGGATGATAGCCAGCGCTTGCTCTATTTGATACACTACTGTAAGGGCAAGGCTAAAACAGCTATTGAAGGTTGCGTCATGATGGAGGCATCCTCTGGCTATAAAAGAGCAAGGGAGATTTTAAAACGTTTTTTCGGACAGCCTCACGTAATTGCTCGAGAAACACTAGAGGACTTATTCAGTGCTGTGAATTTTGAGTATATTGACGGGGACCAACTATCAAATTTGGCTATTAAAATGGAAAACTGTGCCATGGTCTTGGAGCAGATGAATTATACTTCTGATCTAAATTCCTTAGTTACCTTGGAAAGAATAGTGAGACTCTTGCCGCAACCTTTGCAAGCCCAGTGGGCGGACTGGGTGGATAAATTGACTGAAGATAACAGGGAACCGACCTTCGACGAGCTCACTCAGTTTATCGCATCGCGTGCGAGAGTGGCTTGTAGTAGATTTGGACGGTTAGCAAACCGTTCAAGAAAAGGACATAACGTAAAGACGAACTGTCACGTGCAATCAGAGCAAGGGAATAGTTCGACAACGAAAACTAAATGCAGTATGTGTTCCTACGACCATGCTATTGATAAATGTCCACAGTTCTTAGCGCTTACAGTTCAAGACCGACGCTAAAAGCAAGGGTATCTGTTTTGTTTGTCTTAGACAAGGACATAAGGTTAATGAATGTAAGATGACAAGGCTCTGTAACGTTGACAGTTGTAAGAAGAGACATCACGTTCTGCTGCACACTGACTCGACAAGCAACGTCGTAAATGATAAGCCATCATGCTCGGAATATAGGAAAAGAGTTGTTAATCATATCAGTAAGGTACAGACACTGGAGAACGAAATACGTAAGCTTTATGATGAGTTTTCAGATGCTTATTCAAGTGATAAATCATTATCAGTAGACGACAAGGCGGCTATAAAGATTGTGGAAGGGGGCACGCACTTCGGCAACGGTCATTTTGTAGTTTCTATACCGTGGAAAAAGAATCCAAATATGAAAGTGGATAATTATGAAGTAGCAAACCGTAGATTACAAAGTTTGAAAGGTATGTTGTCGAAGGACGTCAGTCTGAACATCAGGTATATCAAAAGTATTGAAAGTAATTTTACTAAGACTTATGCGGAGAGGGTCCTTGAAATATATCTGCAGCCTTATTATCGCCCTCGAGGGTATTTACCTCATCATGCAGTGTTAAACATGGAAAAACCAGAAGAACTTAGAGTGGTCCTTGATTGTGCCGCCCAGTTTGCAGGGGTTTCCACAAATGATATGATTTATCAAGAACCCGATACCACTGATGAGTTAATGTGTATATTAATAAGTTTTCGCAAGGAGGCAGTTACAATCCCTGCAGATGTTGAAGAAATGTTCATGCAATTGGTCTCTGAGTCTGATCGAGGAGCTTCAAGATTTCTGTGGTGGCAGGAGGGAGACATGTCGAGGGAACCATCTGAGTTTCAAATGACATCTCATCCATTTAGTGCCATATCATCGCCGTTTTGCGCGAACTTTACCTTGAATAAGACGGCTCAAATATTCTCTGACGGTTATGATGGTTATGTTGTAGATGCTGTCAAGAATAATTTCTATGTTGATGATTGCTTGATATCCATTCCCAATTGTGATCAAGCAAAGAGTTTCGTTAAGCATATAAGTGAATTATTATGTAGAGGAAGTATGCAAAAAATGATCGATCTTGAATATTGGTTCAAATGTCCTACTTTATTGCATGGCGAATTTTATATAACAATCACTGACTGTCCGGAACCTACTCCTGACGATATTGAGTTTAGAAAAATTGCTGTGGTTAACTTGAGTAGTATAAAGCAAAACATGTCACCTATTCTCTCTTATAAATCCGAGTGGTTGAAATTAGTCGGGGCCGTAGCCTGGCTTAGAAGGTTCATAGAATTTCTGATGGTGCTTCGTTCACCGAGTCATGAAGGATCCGTTCATCTAGGATGTTTAAAGGTCAAGGAGCCTGACATCGCCAAGGGTAAGAATTTATTGATGGTTCAAAAGGAAGTGTGTGGAGAATTATTTAGTGAATTTAGAAACAGAAGTAAAGTAGTAAGTCATAATGATCTGAAAGGTTTATCACCGATAATGCTTGATGGGTTACTCTGTGTTACAGGTCGTCTAAGCTACTCAGAATTATTAAATGCTTTTGAACGTCCAGTAATTTTACCCAGTCGACACTTAGTGACGGAAACGATAATTAGACATTGTCATAAAGAACCAGGACACATAGGAAGGTCATTAGAAAAAGGATATAGATATGTGTTTACTTGTTTGCAAACATGGGCAATACATATTGAACTGATGTATAGTTTGATTACTGGTTCATTTATAATGGCCTTATTACGTTTTATTGGAAGAAGAAGGAAACCTCCGGAGATTTACAGTGATAGTGCGTCAAGCTTCATGGGAGCAGATTCTGAATTAAGGAGGTTTGTGCAACAGTCGAATCAGCAGAAGATAAATATTGAATTGTCAGCGAGGTCCTCATCCAACAGCATGGGTGTAATTTGGGGAAGAGTGATTAGGTCTATACCAAGACTGTTATTGTTGATCACGAGAGAACAGGTGAAGCAGGTCTCCTTGAAGCTTTGGATTAGTCTTTGTTGTTATTGATGTAGTTAGGTCGAGTAGGCGTACTGTTGTAAGTCCTACTCGTTCCTATGGTGTGATATGTTATATAATGAACCATGACCGTAGGCATCAAGGTAGCTTGTGTGATATGGAGGGATTTTGGGGGCCGGTGTAAGATCCATTTTGAATGCCTTGTGTGTTTGTGAAAATCCCTCCATGTATATACTTGCACTTTGTTCCTATTGATCTTCTTAGTTGTACATTGTTAACTTTTGGACTACATTTGAATTGTTAATCTTTGTATTTTATTATAGTTTTTGTTTTTACCACACCTTCACTAATTCCCCATGTTTCTTCCCGAACTGCACTTATGTTGTTTTACTTTATACTAAGTCTGAGCGGCAGCCATTTTGGTTGGTTCCTGCTTTTGATTGCTTGACCTGTGTTGACTGGAATTGTGCATTTTGGTTGTGAATTGAAGCACTCTTCCAGAATTGAAAACACTCTGTGTTATAGAGCGACCAATTGTTACCTTTTGAACGAATTTGTACGTGATCTATCCAGACAGGATAGAATAACATTTATTTGTGGTGATTGGTAATTTTCTTGCATTCTTTATCAACTTTCTTATTTATTGTAGTTTAGATTTGATCAATTATTGGTTGGATAGCTGTGTGGTTATATTTGTTTAGGTAATAATGTATACTTAAATTTATGATAAATTATAGAACCGCTATCTTACCCAATTACCTTGTTTTGGTTTCAAACGGGCGAGGGCGCGTATCCAACTTATCCAGGCAGCTGTCCAGCAGTCCAAACGTGGTTTGGATCCTGCATGCACTGTTCATGTATACGTTCAGAAGGCGGATGGAAAAGACTATCAACGTCAATTGTTACTCACATAATTCTTCTCAGATACGTTACATAACAATATGTTACTTCAGTGCAAAACGATGGTACTTATAATGGATATAACTGTTCATGGCTAAATATTAACAAGTTATATAATATTCATAAACAGATTGACGCTTA